AAAAAAATCCTCTGGGTGACATTTATTCATAGGTACTTGTATTTAAAATGGGTGATTATGATTATCTGGTGAGACTTTTCATACATTATGGCCCAAAGGCATTCCTACCAACGTTTCTGCTAACTGCATAAATGGTGATAGACATCTACTGCATCTCTTGGTAAGCCATTATGTGTTGTGAAGATATTGTCTCCACTGAATCACAGACCTCTGTCTGGATTTTGGATTTCTTTCCTCAGCTTTCACTGCTATATATGAGATCCCACAACGCCTTTTTCTACAAGATTAAAAAGGTCATTATAATCGGATGCATTTTCCTGAGTTTATAAAAGACACAGTGACACAACTACCTCTAACCTTCTCCTTTAAGCTAAGTAGATTTAGTAAATTGTAAAACCAGGTTTTCAAACTTCATTTAATTTTGCAGTTCTTTTCTAGGATCTTCACAATTTTTCAAACTTCATCAACATGGATTATCTTATTTCAAGTATACTCCACATAGAACTGTATAGCCAACCTGAAATGGACCTTGTACCACACTAAAGCACTGGTATTCACAGTGACTCAGCAGAAGCTCTTGAGAAAACTCAGTTACTTCAAAAGTCCTTTTACCCTTCAACACTGAGGTTTATACTAAAGAAACTCCACTTGTGGAAAAACAATGCATATTTATTGCATCCCCTTTATCACAGACCTTGCTGACGTTAAAAAAGTTGTAGTTTTATTCTATTCAGATGTTCTCTAACATCTGCTTGAAATGGCGCATAATTTTTTCACAATACCTTCAACAAGGAAAGACACTACAGGAAATTCTGTCCAGGCCAGATTTCTGCATCTGCCCCATTACTGCCATGAAATCCACACTGTTTTCAGGAGTAGTCATTATAATGATGGTGTAGCTCTGTAGCCCAGCAATATGATATTGTCACTGCTAGTACTAGGTCACATGCTTGGACCTGAGTTTGCAAGGCTTCAGGCTTTGTCTGAACTTGTCTTGACTTGCCAGGAACTTTCATTTAATTGCTTAAGCTGTAACAGCAGTTATTCTAACGACCAGGTAGTTGTGGCTATTTTGTTTTATTTTGGTGTATTTTTGTATCATACAACCCACATTTTTAGATGGATAGTAGTATTCTGTGTAGAATGACATATTTGTAACTAACTTAGTTCAATTTATGTAGAGAAATACAGGCCTTGTAAAACAGCAGATGCCTTGAAAAGTGAGAACAAAGGATGAAGTGCAAAGGACAATGGGCACGGGATGACAAGAGGTGGGGCACAGGCTGCTGCTGGCAATCCTATGGCTATAACCAACATGCTAGTGATCAGCTAAAGAAATGCAGACCTGGAAGTGGACATAACTAGCTTTAGGGTGAGCAAAAAGAACAAGTATCTAACCTATGTAAAATGCACCATATACAAAAAATTTTGATGTAATATGAATTTGCAGCCCAGTGAAGTAAAAGCAAGGTATAAATGAACGTTAGCAAACACATAAAAATTTCCCTAGGCTTTGTAGCTTGACATTGGAAGAACTTAAAATAGAAAATGTTTAAAATTCCTTAGTGACACTGAGCATACAAAGATAAAAGGGACCCTAGTAGACTTCTCTCTTATTAGCATCACATATATTTGTTTGGAAAAAATCATACAAACCTAATTACTAACTCAGCTTGGAGAAAGGCTTGAAATTTCAGCACAGACTGGTCAGAGATTATTTTAATCATCAAAGCACAATTTAATTCTTTAATATTATAATTTAAAAATGCATCTTCTTGTTCTTAATGCTGAATGAAAAAGAGGAAGACAAGAGTCTCTCTAATACTAAGGGTTTTTTTTAAAAAAATACAACCCACTGTTTGGCTAATACTCTGGGTTAGTCCCAGAAGCTCTCAAGACAATTCCTCTCTTTCACTAAAATAACAAAATATTGAAGCATAGAATTGAATTTTGTCCCTAGTTCCACTTTTGCAAACCCACTGCAGACAATGATGCTGCAAATGCATAAATGAGTGCAGAATTTGAAGACCGTGGGATCTCCATTAGTGTGAAGACAAACGTGAATGTTCCATCCTTCAGTCCTAAAGATCAACTTGATGTGCAACCCAGGTGACCAGACATGATTCAGCGCCTACAAGACTATGACGGCCACAGCTTTGATTACTCCCTTTCACTCTTTTTCTTCTTTGGCTTTCCCTTCCCATCAGTCTGTGCTCATGAGCAGAGAAACAGAGCTCGGCAATGCAGGAACCTCTGCAAGGAGGATTTCCCAGGCTTCCTCTACAGTCTCATGTCAGAGCCACAAGATAATACTGAGTCAGGTTTACCCCAACTGAATGAGTGTAAACGAGGCAGCTAAATGAGACTGTGGTTCCCAAAGGAGAACTCATCCCGGCTTTCATGCCACCCACATGCAGGCTGCTGCTGGCACAGTTCAACCTGGTGGTCTTCAAGGAGAGCGACTACACCAAACTCAGTAAATAGCCTTTTTTTATATAAGTTTTCTTTTTAGCTTTTAAGTAGAACACAACATAAGAACCCAGGCTTTCAAACTCTAAATTTATAGACAGAATTTGCAGGAGATTTTAGAATTGAATTGCAAACTTAAATTCTCCGTTATTTTTCTGTGCTTGTAACGAGACACCACAAAATAAATATTATCCAAACTTGGATCATAATTTAAAAAAAATTTTAAAATGTTTTAATTCATTTTCTCTTATTGTTACCAACACTAGAAACTATAAAACAACCTACATATCCTTAAATATTTTCCTCCAGAGAAAAGGTGGCAGAAGCCAAGTTTTTAAAAGCTTCTGTTGTAACATTCCAACACTTATGACCATCATGCTTTATGGCTCTATTATTTTCAACAAAAAACATTTAACTGTGTATGCCCTTTGTTTTGGCATATTTATAGTTCTCTGCAGTAGATTAAGGAAGCAATTTTCAAGAAGACCATGCTTTTTGAGTTATTTTGTTGCAAAATGGAAATAATTGGACTATGATTAATATAGACTACTAATAACTGCTATTACATTTAAAGAAGAGATATCATCTCACCCAATGAGCTACTATTCAGGACACTCTCCAAATACTTGACCATTGCCTCGGTATCACTGTCCTGTGGGTAAATGAAATAAAGAATAGAATTAGTGTGGGCACAAACTTAAATATAAACACTATGTACCAGAGGCATGATCCTACAAACATAAAGGATATCACTTCCACTTACGACTGTCAACACTACACTACAAAGAGTCTACATTGCTCAGGATTTTTTTCTGTTTACTTCTCCTAAAACACCAGGCTTGGGATTTATGTTATATACAAACAATTATTTATGTCAGATTCCTTGCAGAACACAAGTGTGTAGAACAACTGTGCATGAAGTTTAAAGAAGATACGTTTACTGTGAAGGATGGTGTGCAGTCTCTGAAAATACGCCAGCATTTTCTCATCGGTTAGTTGTGGAATAGCTAAAACCATATTACATTGAAAAAGGCAAGTATGTACTTCCTAACTATGCCAAAATTTCTTATGCTTATGATAGCTGCCCACTGCAAAGTCATATTCATGTTTCATGTTATTGCATCTACTTACATATTTAGTAACAACGATTAATTGAAAAAAAAAATAATTAGGATGTTTTAGCACTTGTCTATTTCAAGTATTCTGTTACCAGACAGATGATGAACAATTTTGCCATGATATCTTCCATGTGAAACGCCATTTGTGCACACAGATGAAATTTAAAGATCTAGTCATTAAGCAATGACTGTGCTCCAGGAAGTAGGTCACAGAGAAAATGTCACTTTATTAAAGTCCGAGAGAAATTTAGACTCTCAGTTTCGAGGAACTGCTGCCACATCACATTTGACAATGCGGAGTTTCTTGACTATTTAAAACTGAAAGTCAAAAGCTTGACCTTGCTGAAAAATCTGCCAAAAATCTGTATTTTAAAAAATATTGAGCAGCTTATGGTTTAAAAATTTTAAACAATGGAATAAAAAGAAGCAATATTAACCTCAGCTTCTACAACACACAGTCTGCTTTATATTTCTCTGCTCCTTCTTAGTTTCTTAAACTGAGGAACTGCCAGTATACCTTAACTGGATAATAATAATTGTTGGCAATACTGTTAGCTGGTTAGTGATGTTTCAGTGCAAGTCAGAGCTCTTATGGGTGAGCATGGTCTAACTTCTTATCACTCTAAGTTGTTTCATGGGCATATATTTGAAACAGGCTCTGCTATTTTAGCTGAGGTTTGCAAGATGGGAATCAGCTTCTTGGTTGAACATTTCAGCAGGTAATCCAAAGGCTCATAGGTTTGAAGGAGCTGCTTTGCCCTTTTGGAGCAGCCTGTGGTTTCTAGTTCTGCAGCCCATCCCAAGTGCCTGAGTTACCTCAGATGATCAAATAAACCTGAACTTGCTTAACTGGAGCTTTTGCCAGTTAGCAGCAAAGTGCCGAGGAAATGCTACAGAATGCATTACATTTATATATATAATATATATATATAATATGGAATTAAGACAGACTTAATATTATAGATATAATTTCTCTGTATTTGTAAAAACAAAAATAAATTAAATGAACCTTTAGGACTTCATTAAAAAGTTATTAAATCTTTTTCATTCAAAACTAGAATTTGATATTAATTCTCTGCTAATATAAATTTGTAATTATTTTTATTTTCATTATCACTAACAGTTAACTGCAAATTGATAGATGGACAGACAAAAACATGGTAGATGGCCACATACAATATTAATACAATTGCTTTAATAAAACCTTTTTTTCTTTTTGAATTAGATAAAGATTGTAATTCTCAAACCTTTGACTTCTCACAACAGGACATAATATTTACTCCATATAATCACAACAGAGCTTATTTTTCCTCACTACACTGTAAGGCAAAAGATAAACTTTCACCACTTTCATCAGCACTGGTTTTCAAGGAAACTAGCTGGCTTATCTTGGCTATCTTGAAATAAAACTTTAATGAGGAAGAGAACGTGGTTTTCACACAGTGGTAAATAGCTGAATAAACTGCTAATCACCTTACACTGAGGTAGAAACTACCTGTGCCTTTTCTCCACTTGGGTTTAGCAATCCAAGAGGATTTTAGCTGTTTTATTTAATATGCTTCTGCATTTAATATATTTCTTTAATGTTTCTCTTTTTTGCAGAGAAAGCAAAGCCCAGTAGAATAGTCAAGGGACTCTGACAGACGCGCGTAAGAGAGGTCTCTTACGCGTAGGAGCCCGTGGGGATGAACGCTTGCATGCTTCAAATTCAGAACAAACGAACCCCTTTCTAACAGCAACAGACCATGCCAAGGCACATGTTAGGAATCCAGTGGAGCATGTTTTGGGTGACAGTACACAGACCACCCACAGCTGCTGGAGCTATGATAATTTATGCCAGCTGATTATCTGGCTTGACAATCTCAGAAGTGACTTGGAAACTGAAAATGGGAAGCTAATGTACAACAGCAGCAGACCTTGTCATAATGAAGAGGGTGAATTTGCTACTATTGTCACTAAAGTAAACACAAAGAACAAGCTGATAAACTGCAGTAAAAAGCATCCATTAGCATCTCAGCTAAATCAAGGCAATGAAAGTTTCACTGTGCACTAACTTCTCAAGATGAAACCTCTCCTAAGCTTCATATTTTTTATGCTTTTTAGAAATAGTTTCTCATTCTCTTTCATGTTTTCACCCTAATTAGAAACCAGTGTTCCTAGAAAAAAAACACGTGGAAAAGAGCCATTGGCTTGAAGAGGTAGAGGTCTGGAAAGGTAATTGGCAAATTGCTGCTTGAAATCCGGCAATCTGCATTTCTGCTCTAAGAGAGACCGACAAAGGACACTAAACTCCAATGCTACAAGCAGGGTGAGAGATTCAGGTGTGCTTAGGGTCTGAAATTGGTAGTAACTCCACATCCGCAACTGGACAATGTAGCTGAAAACACATGGGCTGTATTGACAGATATCAATGTGGGAAAAATAGCAGTCTCAGCTCCCATCCTAAACCATTAAAATGATACCATTCCAGTGTCTAACGCTACCTTCTCAACTGAGGAGGAGTTGCATCCCACGCAAGGCCACGATTTCTCAATTTGTCTTGACATCTGTGGGCACCTAATATAGCTTGAACAAATAGCTCAGATGTCTTTCTACATCATGCACCCCAACGTGTTGTTCAATTAGATGACTTTCCTGACCCGATGCTACTGAATGACCATTAGATTTTTTTTTAATCATTGTTTGAAGTAATGAGGTCACCAGGGAGCAGCACCAGATGCAGCACTTCCACACTTTCTGCACAGAAGTAACTAGCAAAGCAATCTTGGCATTAGAAAATCGAGAGATTTGCACAGATTAGGAAGGCAAATATCTTACAAGTCCTTATCCTGTATTGCAGTGGAATGACTTCTTTATTAGCACACACCTCCAAAAGCTTAATTTATGAAGGTATTTTTGAAGAAAGGGTTTAAGAGTATGAATCTCATCATAGAAATAGGAGTAGGAGTTTTGATATTAAGTAAATGACTGCAGAAGCAAACCCCTGCTATACACTAGCAAGATCAAATCTATTCTGGTAGGATTGGAAGCTTATTATTAATACTGAGCATGATCCCACCTACCTTTGAGTGGGATTCATCTCGTATAACTGTTGACATCCAGAATGGAGATGCCCCATGCATGCTAATAACTGCAGATGCCTTTATAATCACCAGAGAGAAAGAGACCTCTCAGCATATTCCATCTAACCTACGTTAGATGTTTACACCAAGATAGCATTATTCCCTAAAAATGCTTGCTTACTTCCCCTTACTGTACAGAATTTCCATTCAGTTAGTTCAGACATAGGTGTCCAGATGCACACAGCTAAGGTCAGTCTGCTTTGACCTCAGACTTACTGTAGAATTTTTCACTTGAGAAAGGGAAAACTGAAAATTACGCTCACTTCCCAAGAAAAAGAAAAGGTGATTGTGTCAATACCCAGAAACACACTTCTGCATTATGGAAAGGTGCTGGGGTCAACATCAGAAAAAACAGAGACAGACAATTAGTTTCTCTCACAGAGGAAGTCCCAAAAGGTAAGTGCTCACTGGGAGTACTTCCCAGTCAGTTTATGCGGTCCAGTTTCGCAGAGGGATAATGATCTGTGTGCACACAGGCTGCTGGTAGAGGGAAGCCACACGGCCATCAGCCATTGATGGCCATCAGGGCTGGATAGAGAAAAGAGGTGCCACTGGGACAGCTCTTCCAGCCCACGGTGCTGGTTCTTGTCATCACCGAAGTCTGAGTCACTGCAACATGAGGGAATGTCAGTGCTCAGATCTGACTGCCAACATCTAATTTATTCTGCATTGTTGAGAAATCTATTCTTATCTTCTGCCGTTTATTAACTCTAAGCAGCAGTCTGCCTGTTCAAAAATGCAATTGATTGACACTTAACAATACTGTCAATGAAAGTTGAATGAAAATTTTAAAAGGCATTCTAAAAAGAAAAAAATATGTCAGAGTGATGAAAATCAGCAATAATTTATTTTCAAGAGTACCTCGTGGGAGACTTTCTTGGCAACAGAGTGTTTGCATGTCTATGTGTTGTGGTTAAACACAGACCTAGCAAGCTGAAAAAAAGCATTGTCTTAGGTATTCCCCTGATTTACAATTGACTAACAATTTCTTTAGAACAGTACAGTATAAACTGATCCTGAATTTTAAAACATCCTGTGTGTTTCATTTGAAAGCTAGGAGGCCATTTCTAGATTGAATGAAGCTGTTTCTGAGAAAATTCAAGTTTAACTGGTGAGAGAATTTCAGGACTCCCCACTACTGTGGTAGAAGTACAGATCTGATTTCTCACACAAACATTTTATTTTTGCCTTAAAAACTACATCTTTCTGAAGCTATTTGTTCAAAATTTTCAAAAATCAATACAAATTATTTGTAATTTAGTGAAGAGCATTAGCATATGTGGTTGGCTCCCTAAAATGCAAAAGACATCTCACTCTGTTTTGCAAAGTTTGCACATGAACTCAGAATAAGATACATGATATGAAGAAGAACCATATAGTACTGTTCAGAGGCACTGTATTGCAATGCTTTAAGTTGGTGGCCCAGGGGAGAAATTAACTGTTCCTGGATACCTTAGAAAGATCCATTTTCAGAACTGACTTGGGCATTTAAGTTCATTGATTTCACTGAGACTTGATCACTGGAGACAAGATTCATCTCAGCTCATTCTGATCAGATCTAAATTAGTTGCCTTTTCCAATAATCTTCAACCTTCTTTACACTGCAATCCCTAAGACTTTCTTGTGGCAGCCTCACCTGATAAAGCTACTTTAAGCCTTTCAATAATAAGTTTTCTCTTCACCGATACTTTCTGAGATTCTTGGGAAAGTCTACAGATTTGCTGCCCAAGTCTCGCAGTTGGTTAGGTTCACAGTTCATCACACTGTCCTAGAAAATACATCTAATATAGGCAGGAAGAAGTGGCAAGCAGAAGTGTCTATCTTTCTTCAAGAATTAGAGCTGGAACATAGATCTTATGCTTGAAATTTAATTTCAGCTTTAACTTAATTTACCCATAGGTAACAACATGACGCGAGAGAACCCCACTCTGAGTGTTTTATAGTCACAAGGAAGTTTAGTGACAACAACCCACCTTAAGGCATTCATGAGAGTGTTATCCTTAATCTTGAAGGAATGCAAGAACCTTTCTCATCAATGTCTCAGATGAATTACATATGCATGCACATATAATTAATTAATGATATTGATACACACGCACATTCCTAACAAAAATTTCATTAATGTCAGTAGGACAAGATCTCGAAAGTTTAATTTTCCCATGGAAAATGAGCATCAAGTGTATACTGTTTTCCCAAAGGTCACATATACCTGGTGATTTGTCTTAGAGACCATGTGTGATGGTTCCACATCCTCCTCCTCTTCACTACCTTCTGAACAGGATTCAAATTCATCATTATAATATTCTTCTGCAATTTCTGGATCTTCAGGGATCTCTAAAGGCAATTATGAGTTTATAGACAGAAAAAATGTATGATATTAAAAACATAAAATGGATTTTATACCATCCATGTTATGTCACCAGCAATGCATTCTGTAATTGAAAACAAGAGATAGGTTCTCAGATTAAAATGTTCATCTTTGATGACATGATAAGCAGTGCTAAAGCTGTCTCTGGTAAAAGCTCAGATCTTCACCATATGTAAATTAATTACCTCAAAGGATTTATATCGATTTTGGCTTGAAATCACTGAACCATAGAATAATTCAGGTTAGAAGGGACCTCAGGGGATCACCTAGTCAGAGCAGGGTCAGCAATGAATTGAACCCAGCTTTCATGAGTTGAAATTATGTCCCAGTTTGGTTTTCTCTAACACGCATAACCTGTGGTGAATACAACTGCTACGCTAAAATGGAAAATAATATATATTAGGCACATGTTTAAAAGATATAAGAAATAAAATCTATATCTTTTTCCAAAGTTTCCTGAAGCAAAAGCCTAACAAAATACAAGAAACTGGTGTAAACTCAAGCTATGCATACTTGGCTGTCATGCTCTCTCAGTTCATTGCTATCATAAGTTTTAATAGCAGCAGTGAGCACAATATTAATATAGCCAATGAGCCTATGAAGTACAATAATTGTTATTAAAACTCAACATATTCATCACAGCATGAAAGACACCTCAGCCCCTCTGCTCTGGGTGAAGTCCTTTAGCATCACAGACTACGTAAGTAAGGAGTTAGTGAAACAGCTCGAGGCCTGACTGCACCTGATTTGGGCAGCTGTCCTTTCTCAACAGAAGCACTTAGGCACGTGTTGAATTTTAAGCAGATGCTGGACTGTGGTGATTATCTGAATAAAAAGCAGAATTCCCATTTTTCTAGCCAGAAAAGTACAAGACAGAGTTGCTCATAGGAGCACAGGTCTGCAGCAGAGACAGGATCAAAAGACAAGGGAGCTCGGCTCTTCAGCCATCCCATCTGTATCCCTAAGCATTCCTGGAGAGAGATGCTCCAGGAGAGCTAACTGTCATGCTTTGATTTTAGGCAGTTCCTTACTGATTTATCAAGATAAGTTGCATCCAAGCCCAGGAAAAATATTTTTATGCTACCAGTTTTCAAAAAGAAAACATTTGGTATCCGTCTTTGCCTGGTATTATTATAAGAAATGTAAGGTAAAGATAAAAAACATTTAATATTCAGTTGTCGTAAATCACCACAGTCCTAACTTTAGCTAATGCGGATTTCCACCATTCTCCCCAATTAAGACTGTCACGTAAAAAAACCCTATAAATCTACTTTTCTTAAATATTACTGCAATAAAATAAATTAAATTCAAACAATATGACATTAAAAATACTTAATAGATTTTTTCTTAACTTGTTTCACATGGATAAAAAAACCCCAAAAATGTTTAAACAAGGGAATACAATTGAAATCCGTTAAAAGACATTGGAGTTTGGGCAGGAGGAATAATTTTAATCTTTAAGGTGTAAGAAAGAGAACTCAGGAAAAAAGTAAAAATATATTTATCTACAGCACTAGGTGGTTGAATCTCTCCTGTTGAGACATGATCTCTACTATCTACTGTCTCCAATTAAAAAATACTTCCTTTTTCTATAGACTTGATTTATATCTAAAATGCTGACACATTTTCACTCAGATTTCTCTGTTTTAAGATACCTATGGAAGCTGCATAACAGCACCAGGCTCCACTTCCACAATTTCTTATCCTTCCTGTTTCTATTTTTCACCTTTCTTAGTTTATTGTGTTTAATTGTTAGAGTTCTGTAGAGTGCCATTTGTCCGAAAAGGCTAACGCTTCATGTTAGAAGAAAAAATTGGAAGAATCTTACATACTATTCCTTTTTAACATGAGAAGGACACTACTAAATTAAGATACATCTCCTCTTCCAGATGGAGGGAACGTTGTTTTTTCTTTCTTGCAGAGGCTGTCATTCCTGTGATTAGTATAATTTTATTAGGTTCATCTGCATTCTATGTCTATACACGCATTCAAATACATATGAATCAGCCTATTTATTATGTTATAATGCAAACATTGGACTACACTAGCGTTTTCTGAGTTGTTTTCTCCTCCCACATTCTTTATTTGTTTACTGTTGTACTAAAAACCATAATCCTCCCTTTCCTAACCAAACAAGGTATGAAAATCAGTTCTTTTACTCATAAATGTAATTTCAAAATGTCTGCTCTGGCTACAGAGAAGCTCTATACCTTGTGAGTAGCCCATGACCAGCTAGAACTGATGATGCCACCGAACTATGTGGAGGGGCTGATACTGGCCATATCCCACTTCCATGCCAGCTTTTAGATCTGTGTCAGAATTGCTCACTTTACCATTTGTGAAATTGTTTTTGACAGCTGCTCATAGATGGCTAGTTAATCTGAGCTCAGTAATATTGTTAGTTAATCTGAGCTCAGTCTGAATGTTAGTTCAGACACCAGAGATGTTCCAGGGTACAGACGTTTACTTGCCCACATTCAGAAACTATTCCAAGTGATTTCTGAAAGGAGACAGCACATCCAGTGGATGGGAACGTGGGATTTAGCTACTACAAGTCTTTAAAACTTCTTGGTTTTATGACACGCACCTTTAAAGAAGGCACCTTCAAAACATCAACACATTCATTTAGACTATCTGGTTCCATATAACAGTTTCTTGAGTTCTATCAAGTAGAGCCAACTCCCAGTCATCCATGTGCTACAGATGCAGAATTAATCTGAGTACAGAACAGCTTATTTAGTTGAGCTCCAGGATCAGCCTGATTTCAAGAACACATAAGCTGGCTTTAGCATAGCAGATACCATAAATTAACACAGCGAGCTGTATCCATGCTGGTCCAGTAAAGTCTAAGCGTGGATAACTGGAGTGAGCTAGGAGAGGAACAGTGTCACATTTAAGAAGGTCCTGACACCATCTGCAGCCCATCTGGATCTCCTTGCTCATACAGTTCTCCTGACTGCCCCGAGCACAGTGAGTCCAAATCACCCCATTCCTTGCACACAGCAAAGTCCCCCTGTGCAGCACAGATGTGGTAGGTAGGGACTCTGCTTTCCTCGCAGACCCTTGGAAAAGAAAGTTGATGGTAACATGCAATGTAAAGGTTTCTAATCTTCTGTCAGCTGGTAGAACATGCAGCCTGACGGCTGCAATACCGCTGTAATATAGTTATCCCTCAGATGCCCAGTCTCCCTCTGATACAGCATGCTTACGTGCTCCTTATGGAGCAGAATGGAAGGTCTCTGCTGCTGCTTCTGTCCCCTCACGCCCCCTGATCTATCAGCTGATCTCTGAAAATACATTATGCTTTATCTAGCTGAGCATATTGCACTAAGGCCAGTCACAGTACCTTTTATTTGCTTACAAAGCACTTAGTGCAGAACAAACTCAGCTATTGCTTCCGTATTGCTAGGCAGCTTAGGTATAGCACTGAGACACCTGATATTTGCTATGAGATATTCCAAAGAAAATGAGCTCTGAATAATAACATTCGTCTTTAGATTTCTTTCTATATATTAGCATGACGCTAATAGTGGAAGGAAGGGTAAAACCCCATTATCTAAAAAAAACATAAGAGCACGGTTATTTCCCAAGCAGACAAGCTATGCAGAAAACAAAGCCATGCAATACTTGTCATATTTTGCTTAAATCCACCAAAAGCTTGTTTCAGGTATCATGGTAACTTGGCAACAACAACTGTTTTCTCCAAAGAGATGAAAATACTTTGATAAATATTTTTAATTTTCTCTTGCCGTGAAGTCGTATTTATAATTGGTGCATTGACGTAGCATTCTCACATTCCAGTGCATGAAGACAACAAGTAAGGCCCCTTTTATTTAAAAAAAGGAGAAGAAGAAAAAGAAAACAGAACAGTATAACACGTGCTCATTTTCACCACTTTTATTCACAATAACAAAGTCACACTTGGCTCTGAAGGACTATTGTGCTTTCTTAATGCCAAGGTTTCATCACATCTCTGGAAAAAGGCTGATTTTCTCAGCTGCCACTTTCCCATCTTAAGGAAAAAATTGCTATAGTTCCATGTAGCTACACTCCTCATTCTGGGTGTCCTGGTTTTGACTGGGACTGAGTTAGGTTTTTGTTTCAGCAGTTAGAAGAGCTCTGAGTTTTGGTTTTAGTCTGGGATTTGCTATGAGAAGAGTGTTGATAGCACACTGATGTTTATAGTTGGCACTGAGGCCTCAAGGACTTTTCAGCTTCCCATGTTCTTGCCAGTGTGCAGGAGCACAACAGGATAGGGGGGAGCATGGCTGGGACAAAGGGCCCACAGCTCCCCTTGTGATTTGAACTTAGACTTAGGATTGAGGGCTAAATTGACAAATGGAGTATTCCATATCATGCAACATCATGGCCAGTCTACAGATGAGGGTTGACCAAGAATAAGGGCTCTTGCTCTTCTGGCAACTGTCTTCTGAGGGCTCTCTCAGACTCTAAGAGTGCTATCTCTATCTCTTGCTCAAGTTTTCGGGCCTCTCACTCATCCAGGATTATGATGTCAGGATGTACCTGTTTTGGGATCGTTTGCCAGAACAGCGCGGGCATTGGTCACCAGGTGGTGAACAATTACACTGTGCATCACTTGTTTGTATATATTATTATTATAAGTACATATATTCTTGTATTACCACTATTACGTTTAATTTTATATTATTATTATACATTTTTCTTATCTCAACTCACAAGTCTCCTTCCCTTTTCGCCTTTAATTCTCTTCCCCATTCCCTGGGGGTGAGGGAGGGTGAGTGAGCAGCTGCGTGTCATTTAGTTACTGGCTGAGCTAAACCACGACACTGCGCAATACTACAGACAGCAAAGTGAGGAGCAAATCATTTGACTGCTCCAAAAAACATATACTGCCACGAGATATAATGCAGTCTTAACGATATGGTGACATGAACCAAGATGTTAAAAAGCGGTGTTACTGCATTTCTGTTACCACATTCTACCA